GAGGTGCTGATGACTTCCATCACCTCTGACTTCACTTAGCACCTAAAGAGTGTGCAGCATAATTCTGGTGCTGGAGATGGAAGCCTGTGAGTGAGGTACCAGTTCTACTAATAGCCCATTGGTACTTGTAATGTATCTAATTCTATCCTTAGCTTCCACCTTTTATATTTAATTACGGAAGAAACAGAGCAGGAGAGTCAAATGTCATGGCAGATATTTCTTCTGCTGAGTGCTAATGGCTGCCCTGGCAGAGGAAAAGCAGGAAGGGCATCATCATAGATAGATAACTGGTGCACAGGTTATCTTGTTTGGCAGGGAAAGTTTTAATCAGTGGAATGGGCATGGGCTTTGGAGTCAGGTATAACTAGATTTCAATGCAGAGTTCCCAGCTATTCTGTGACCTTAGGCAGGTTAATTGAGTTATAGTGAACCACAGCACCAATGTTTATAAAATGGGGATAATAAACAACTTATAACTTATGTGAAAACATGCCTCACATAAAGGTGGTGCACAATAAATATTTGTGTTTTTTCCTCTTATTGTAGTTTCTGGTAGCAAAAAGAGTTTAGCCATGAAAAACTGCTTAAACACAGCATGTTGGAAAAAAAAACACTAAGAAGATATGTTTCCTTCACCAATACATTTAACATCTCTGAGTCTTAGTTTCAACATCTCCCAAAAGCAATTGTGGAACAAAAGATAAGAATAATTACAATTCTCCTAATCTTTATTCAGAGACCTTTACTCAAAGAGTTTGAGAAAAAAAACATTAAAAAAGTCAGGTATTTTGATTGTTATAACATAATCATATTTCTTATTGGGCCTCATCAATACCAAATATGAACACTATAGATAAGAAATATTTGAAAAGCAGTGTAATTCCTTTGGAAGTTGCTCCTTTCTGAAATGTATGATGATTTCGATGTTTCCTTAGATTGTTTTCTTGTGAGAATTGTTTTATATTGATACGTACCTATCAAATTCTTAGCTATTAGTACTAAAATGTGTTTTCTCTCTGGGATATAAATAATGTTCAAAGGCCAATCATTCTATACAAATGTCACCATCCTCAAGATTGATTTAGCATTTCTCCACCTTGAACAGATTCTTGCATCAGTATTACTTGGAGACACCAAGCACATCAGATATAATAGTGTAATACTTACAAAATCAATAAATAGTGGTCTTATGAGTCTCGTTATGTCTATTTTATTGATTGAGTTTTTATTATATCTGTAATTACAGTTCAAAAATACAATTTGATGATCTTAAAAAAAGTATTAACTCTTAAATCTCCTAACTATAGGGCCTTGACTCTCTCTTTTTTTTTTCTATTATGCTACAGTTTAAGTTGTTTCACACCCAGACAAACAACAAGACTCACTAAGTAAGCTCTGTCTGAGGTTCAGGGACTGGAATAGAGGTTCTTAACTGTAATAGTCCAATAGGTCCACCTATACTCACAGACTCCTTTAACTCAGACATTTATGCAGATAAATAATTTGTTGAGCTTGATTCCTCTTATAGTATCTAATCAGAATCATACTTGTATATAATAAACCCTATGTAGTGGGTGGTGTTTTTTGATTGTCTTTAGTTTCTTTTCACCAACAAATTGGTAATACCAGTGACATGACTAAAGAAATGGTTGTGGTTCAATTTTACTCCTTTTCTGGTTCTTCCACTTCCTATTCCTTCTACAAAAAAAATGACTACTAAGAGTACCTTTTCTGTGCTCCAATGTTCTTATTATCACTTCCTGTGATGAATAGGATTCATTTAAAAATGCCTTAGGGCAGGTCATATGTGTGACAGCTACTTTAGAGGTGGTCAGTTGTCCTAATCATACATTCACTCCAAGGAGCAGTGACTATCTAATTAGAAAGGACACTACCAAATGCCATTTTTGTTGATCAAACACAGTCGAGTATTATCAGTTTCCTAAGGTTCAAATTAATATAATCACTTCAGCAATTCATGAGTCTATCAACATAGGAGCCCTATCTATTTAGTTTAACTCATTTTTGAAGATGTGGGTTTTTTGGGGTTTTTTTGTACATTATTGACTTGACATGTATGTTAACATATTTTGGAAATCATCTTTCTTTGAAAAAATAATGTTTTTTTGATATGTGGATTGGCTTGATTATTTCAGAGACAAGCTCTACTTCCTTATAAACAGGGTATAAAACTATAACAAGCCTTTTAGGTCATAACCTTAAGTTTTATGCCTTAATAGTTTTGTGTTCAGCCACTGGTCCATAGAATATTGTTATATCCATTAGTGACCCTCACATGCAAAGCATGATAGCAGGATCTGCAAATATGGGAGACTGAAGTTTCATTCATTTGTTAGAGTAAGTTGTTTGAAATACTTTGCATTTGCTTGATAAGAAATGATTGTTTAATATCTATCTGAGTATAATTTTACCTGATACTCATTTTCATTGTTGCTTGATTGGGAAATATGGGAAGTGGTAACTACATAACTAAAATAGCCTAATAGCTGCGTATAACTAAGTTTTCTTAGGTCATTTTGTGGCACAATATCTTAATATTCAATATGTGTCCTTGATCAATGTATAGTCACTGTGAGGTAATTACTCATTGGTCTCTATGGGAGACTGTCCTTCCTGCCATGAGCACTGCACTGTGCTGAGTGGCTCAGCGATGTCATAGTTCAATGACTCTAAACCAAATGCTCTGTGTTAAAACCACATGGATTGTAGCAGCTCTCACTGGGATAAGCATGCTGTTTGAGAAGAATTAAACCCTATCAGCTGAGTCGCTTCTTGCTCAGGGTTAGAACTTCAAATGGACACTGTCTAATCAATTTGAACAGTGATGGGATGGGATGGGAACCATGACCCAACTATACTCCCTGCCCCAAAGTGTGGGTCATTACTGCTTTATGGTTCCATGTCCAGTGTCATGGGGGAAAGATAGTGCGTCTGTTCTCTAAATTCTGTTTTACAAATTAAGTGGAAATGATGTATCATATGCTGTTATATCTAAATATAACATATCATCACCTATTAATTTTGGAACACACAAGTCAGAATTCAGGTTCCCTGGACATCAGATTCTGAGACACTGAAGTTTATATCGACTGGTCATTAGTTGTGAGTTACTCTCATAAAAGCACCATAATGTTAAGCAAGGCAGCTTCTTTCTGACAAGAACAGCTCCTGGAGAGGGACCAAGCTGTGAGCTGTCAGCCTTTTGGGAGCCTAAAGATTAAGTACCTCAGTCCTGAGGAGAGTCAGGTTGGTATACTACAGTACCCCCCTAAATTGACTTCTTGTTTTTGACAATTCCCAATGAGTATTAAGTCCTCTTTCTCTTTCTAAGGGTGCCCCCCTTATCTGCTCTTGACTCAATCTCAATTTTACCCTGGATTTCTCCAGTGCTAGCTTAATTATCTGAATTCCCCCATCTCTCCTCATAAATATCATGAACCCTGAGGGGACAATAATCATCAAGAGAATATTAGAGTCTCCCTTTCCTGTTGAACATCAACCCAAACTGCTTCCACAACTAATACAGAGACAAACCACCACTAAAAAGGAAAATTGGAAAAAAAAATGGTTTATAAGAATCTCTGCCTCCTTGAGTGTGAAGATAGAAACAAACAAACAATAAATAGAAAGAAGAAAGATAATTCAGACATGGAACCAAGTGCCCTAAGGAGTAGGAGAGGCTGAGAAAGAGAGAACAGACTAAGTAAATATTTTCCATGATTTAGTAAATGAAAAAATGACTGGATGACTAAGAAGAAGTGATCAAAGATGAGTTCACAACCAGGAGATTAGAACTGTACCAAAGTGAAGAAAGGAAACTATGGTGGGAAAAGAAATTCAAGAAAATGTTAAATTATTTTGAAAAACTATTTCTCAGAAAGCAGAGAGTGAGAAAGAAAGAACTGGACTGATCACAGGGCAAGTGGAGTGACTTTTGTTACACATAGGACACATGTGTTATCAGACAGTGTTCACCTTGGACACTGTCTGTCCTCAGTGTTCCTCAGGTTTATGCGACTCCACATTAATGCAACTCACGGTCTAAGACAGCAAAAGAGTGATTAGGGAAGAACTAATACCATCAGCAAAAATGTAATACTTTAAAAAGCATATTTTTTCCCAGAATTTCTAGATAACATTTCTAATTTTGACCTTCTACTTAAATCACTTGCAGGAGTGTCTTACCAATTCTCGACTAATCAGTTCTCCTTTCATTCAAATTGTGATTGGAATGCAACTTCCACCACATAGTCTTCCCTTATAAGAATATTTGCAGTTCTATCTAATCTGAACATTCAAATCTATTGTTGCTCTGACTTATCCCTGCCCAGATGTCACGTGTCCTGAATGTTATTTGTTGAATTATACATTCATGCTTGTGGAGAAACCTACTCCCAGTTTTCCTCATCCAACTCACCAATCCCAGAACTTGGCAGGTAGCTTTGATGTCAGTGCACTATTGCAGAATAAAAAAGTGGTAGTAATGACATAGTTTGTCACTCAAAATGACATCTATTTTAAATGTCCTATGGCAATATTTCACAGAGTACACACTTCAGAAAAGTCAGAAATCCGTAAGCAGCTATTAGTCATCTCTCAGATTTCTTTATTATGGAATTCACTCATATCAATATTTGTTTTTTATTAAAAATTTCGTTTTTAAAAGATTTTATTTATTTTTTAGACAGAGGGGAAGGGAAGGAGAAAGAAAGAGAAAAAAACATCAGTGTGTGGTTGCCTCTTTCACACCCTCTACTGGGGACCTGGCCTACAACCCAGGCTTGTGCCCTGACTGGGCATGGGACCAGTGACCTTTTGGTCTTCAGGCTGGCACTCAATCCACTAAGCCACACCAGCCAGGGATCATATCTATATTTGTATCTGCCAATATTAATATCTATAACTATCCCTAGTTCTATAATATGCACATCTATATCCACAAATAGAGAAATAAAGGTGTAAAAAGGATCAGGACTTACCCATCATCTTTAAATACAAGAGAGCAATGATCTTCACAGACTATCTCAATGCAGAAGAAAGTCCCCATAAGGTCTGTAAACAGAATGACAGTGCAGTGATATTTTATTCCAAGATATCAGTGTTTATTTTTAAACAAAAAGGAAAGCTCCCAAGACCCATTAGTTTTCTCTTAAACACAGGCAAACTTCACCTACAGCCTTTGGAAGCTGTGATAATATTCATAGTACTCTAGATCATTTCAAAAAGAATAAAATATAATTAGGGGCTTCTCTTACAAAAACAGATTTTGCAGAATCCTTTGGACAGGCAGCTTTGGAAATTCTCTCAGGGGAAGTGAATTTAAGTGGAGCTGTAGTTGAGTTCAGTTTGAAATCCCCTCTCAATTACCATCAATGCAGCTGAATCAGGAGCTACACCAAAATTCCTGAGATAGCTTTATAAAAATCTAAAATGAAGAAAACGTTATTGCAGATGGAGGTGAAAGAAACCTTGATACAAGAGGGACAAAAACCCTGGAGGGAGGGAGCTGAGGGCAGGAAATAATGATGCGTAAACTTGAAATATGCAAAGCAGAATATGCGTTTGTGATCCTTGTTCTTTTTTCTCTTTCCATGATTCAGGCCTGCAAATATTTGATCTGATATATAGTAATTTTAACAGATATGTAACAAATAACCCAGGTGATTATCATAATATAGGAAAGAGACAGTCCTATGTAATATGTTTGGGAGTCACTCCTTTGTGTATGATTAGAAAACTCCCAAAAACATAGTGCAGACAGCATGCAGAGGAAGAGTTTCTGTCATATCTTATTGCTTCAGCATGAGTCTGGTGACCACTATATCAGCGTTTCATGGCTCAAAACAATACGGCATGTTTTTAAGACACAAACATTATTCATCAGTACTTCTTTACTAAGGGTAGATAGATCATTGCTTGGGGTTTGAGTTTTCAGTAAGAAGCATTTTTACTAATTAAAATTTGAAATTAAGTTTCAGAGCTGATTGCTGCATTATTGCAATTGCAGGAAAACAGCTTGCTTGGAGATAATAATGCAATCTGATATTTATAAAATGCTACTGAAATTTAATAGGCAAAATGGAGTAATTAGAAGTGGAGCTGTTCATCTCTTACTTACCTTCGTGCCTTAGCTGAGATCCAAAATCCCAGCCATACAAAAAAAATCAACCAATTTCTGAAAGCTCCTAAGTGCTATTGTGAGGGGGTTTTAAAATAGCACTAGGACTGCCTGTGGGAACATTATTAAAGTTGCCCAGAATGTGCATCTTGATGCATTATTTCTGGGGTGATAGCTCTGCTCTGCAGAACACATTCGGGCTCACGCACACACGTCAGCACCACAGCAGTGTTCTTGCTGCTGACCTGCAGGGCCATGGGGCATATCTGTATTGTGTCTACACAGTGGGGACCTCAGTCTGTTGGATAATAAAACCAGACTTGTCTGATTACAGAAAGATTTTTGAGGATACTTGAACAAGTATATAAAAACAAAAATAATAACCACAACAAAAATTTGGTCTGTATTTTATAAGTTGACCAAACTAATAGGTGTCAGATTTGTGACAGTAAATGTAACATTTATATTTTGATTCTCAAATGTTCTATCACAATATAGAACCCATTTTCTCTGAGTCCGTGGTAGTTAGTACACTAAATACTGTGAATATAGAGATGGAAGAGATCAGGGTTCCAAGAATCACATGAATGTTTACAAACACACAAAATTTATGAAGATAAGAATTGGATGGAGTTAAGATTTTAGTGTATTTGGGACTTTAGTGTGAGCCTTGTCTAAGGCAGAGACCTGGTTCTGCTGGTTACAGTTGTGTAACCTTGGGCAGACTACAGCATCACCGTACACCTCAGTTTCTTGGTGTGTCAAATGGAATTCACATTAAAACCTGCCTCGCTGGGTGCTTTTGAGATGTAAGTGATGTAATCATGTAATTAATTCAATGTAACACCATGCTGATAATAAGTACTCAATTAGTGTTAGCTAAAAGATATTTTAACCAAACACTTAAAAAAAACAGGCTTTAGATTTGAACTTCCAAATATGCAACAATCATAAAGGTCCTAGTCGAAGTGAAAGATACAGAGAGAAATGATGGTTAATGTATGTTTCCCTGGAACCTTTAAGTTCCACTTACTAGAGCTGTTCAAGGACATAATAACGGGCCACAAACACACTGCCTTTCAATAACATGAAGGTGAGCTGCACGCAGAAGGAGGGCAGCAGGACTACAAAGGTGCAGTGAAGCACAATGGGAGGAGACATAAAATAGCTGTTGATCACTGGAAAGTAGTAACAGCAAACAGGCAGTGCTGGCAGGGACCAGGCAGAGAAGAGGTGGCTCAGAGGAAGGGCAACAACTGAGCTTCCCATGAGGCAGATTCACTGAGCTTCTAACAGCAGGCAGCTGGGCAAGTCAACCAAAGGATCCCTCCTTGATCTCTGGCCTGGGGTACTGCGCAGGTCAGCTGGCCTTGTTTCTCCCTGCAGTTGGTCTACAGAGCCAGACAACAACTTCTAGAAACAGCCTGGGAGAATGGAAAGAGCAGAAGCTGGGTGTTTTTTTTTTTTTTTTCATCGCTCCACCACCTACCAACTCCATGCACTTGGGCAAGCCACTTGACCTCTGTATTTTGTACGGTCTATAAAATGAGATGATATTGTCAACCCAATCAGCAATCAATACATGTTAGTAGTATCCTTCTCTGATTTCCTTCCCACATCCCCATAATTTAACCTTTGACTTGTTTATTTGTACGCCTTTACTTTAGTGCAGGATCTAGTGCTTAAAGCATCCGTTGCTTCTTTGGCATGGGTACCGAGCAGATTTCCCTTCTCTGTAACAATGGAAAATCATCACCACCCATCATCCCTCCGCAATCATTTCAGCTGCTGCAGAAATTGTTCCCATTCTTTATCTTGGGATTACTTTTGTTCTGGGAAGCTCTCTAGAGCTTCAAAATACTTGGTGCATTTGACAAATTTTGTTTTCAGTCCAGATCCCAGATGCAGACATTTTATTTTTATTTTTATTTTTTTAAATCCTTGGTGACCAAACTTCAAGTCTTTTAAAATCTCAAGGAAAGCCTGCTGTCATTGGTTTTGCCCTTATCCAAATCTGCATGTACTTCCTGACCACAAATTAGGTCACAGATAAGTTTGGAGCTGCCAATCAGCTTTGGATTCATCAAGCATTTTAAACTGCTGGTGCTCGGTACAATCACCAGTGTGAGTCACAGATAACGGTGTCATTTGCATAGTTACAATCAGTTAGTGATAGAATGCCTGAGAGGCAGAGGGGATGTGTGGCAAATGCAAAGTCACTTTCAGATTTGCATTCATTTCGGTTGTAAATGGAGAACAGAGGCTTGACTGAAAGGGGCATCGCCTCCTATTCAGCTTGATTCTGCAGAGCCTGTGCTTATGGAGCATTTCAACTCTTTGAAAGTGCTTTATGATCTTCCTATGAGCCATTCTTCTCAACAATGTATGACATACCTAGTAGGCATTATTATCCATAATTTAGTGAAAGGGAAGTAAATCAAAAACAGGTTGAATGGCTTGTTCAACACCGCAGGAAGTCGCAGCACAGGCAGAGGAAGAACCCACAGCTTTGTACCAGCTCCCCATCTGTTGTTAAGCCCTATTAGCCACGTTTCTTACCTGTACCTAGTAATTAGCCAAACTAAGTGATGCCACAAAAGGACATTGCATTCATCTTTTTTAGCATTTCCTCTCTTTTGAACTTACTCATTTGACTTGCAAAACATTGTCAAAATACCCATCCCCCCCCCAAAATACCTACAAAAACTAAAAAAAGAAAGCCAGCTGGAGTTCATTTGTTCTGAGGATGCAGAGCACAAGGAGTTAATATTTCTAAAAGCTCTGGCTGGTGCTGTGAGAGAGACTGGTAAACCTGGAGAGAATTGTGTTCCACTTAAATGACAAGTACCAGGATCTGATTGATATTCTCTGCAAAGTTTTCCCCAGTTACATAGTTTTTCCTTGGCACCTATGATTTATGGAATATCCTTGTATTAATTAGGCATATGCTAGTATTTTGGAGGGAGAGGTAATAAGACAATTCTGTAGCACTTCATTGTATAATATATACAGCTTATTGAAAAGACATGATTTTAGAAACTGGAAAAAAAGGTTAAATACCTTCTTCAGGTACTACAATGGAAAATGTTGTCATGAATAGCTAGCAACCCCCTAAATAGAAAATAATTTTGAAAAAGACTAAGTAACTTCTTGAGTAGGAGGAGAAAAAAAGTTGAACACCGCAGCAATCCCTGACTCAGCAAACAAAAGCAGTTGATAAATGCACCTGCTACCCTGTCTAGAGCTGATGTAGCCTTTTCAGGGTGGCCTTATCAAGTTACGATCTTGTTGGAGAGTAATGAACATGAGGAAAGACGCTGCTCCTCAATTGCTCATCATTAGAGCTCTGTACACGGCTGGAGGGGGAGCAGGGACTGGGATAAATCAGTGCTTTGAACCTCCTGATAATTGGTGCTCAAATCTCAGAATCTGGATATTATTCTTGACTAGAGTATCTGCCACATAGCTGTTGAAGACAAAGCGGTGCAGGCTTTCATCCTGTCAAAGGGGATTAGCAGAACTGGACTACGCATGAGACTGGCCCAGTGTGTCACGCTACGTAGCCTCTTAGTGCCTCAGTTTCTCCCACAGGGAATGAGAATGACAGTCACTTCTGGTAAGTTAGTGCATACTAGTGGAGAGTTTACTTTTAATTAAAGTGCCACATAAATGTAAAAGCAAAACCACATTTTTGCAGAAATTTAACAACATGAGTGAAACTTTCTATGAATAACTACTCATATGTAAACTCTAGGCACTTTACAAAGGATATTTCTGAACATCACAGGGACTCTATAGAGCAGGTGGATCAGAATGACTTGCCTAGGTAGCTAAAGAGGTGACTGGAGAGGTCTCTAACTCTGGAGCCAGATGACATAACCCCAGATGCCTTTGGACAATTTATAGGAAATCTTAAAATGAGCCTCTCTTTCTG